TCAGTAATGCAATGCACCTGCATTATTCCCCAAAGCAAGGCGTAAAGGCCCACAAGGGCCACACTCCTGCTGTCAGTCGCTTTACATTGGAAGGAAAGAAGGAGAGGCTCTGCCCCCTTCGCCCCATGCAAAGAGCCTTCTCCTGGGTGAACATGGAGAACTGCCAGCCACAGGTAATCAGCCAGCTGTTGTTTGGATAGGCAGGCTGCATGCAGAGGAGCTGCAAGCATTCCTGAGGTGGGTGTAGCGCCTTGCGAGGCAACACTGTGGGCCTTCCCAGAGCTGGGTGGAAGACAAGGGTTCTGCTCCCTCTGTCAGGATCCTCAGCTGCGGAAGAGATGGGTGCATCACCAATAGGTGATCCTGTTGGATCAGGCAGAAGACGCCCCCAGTCCTTGGAAGAAGCTCCTTCAAGGGACATTGTTGTGCTGCCTCAGGAGGATAGGACACACGTTGAGGGGAACTGGTTGGAGGAGGGCATAGTAGGGCATAAGCCCTCCCTCGCCATTTCTGCCCCCACCCCCCCAAATCAGGCTTTGGGCAGTGTGGAAGGAGGGATGAAGGCTTGGGTAACATGGTATAGGTGGGGGAGAAATTAAAAGAGACACTTTAATGGGGGGAGGGATTCTCCCATGAATCCTCTTTGTGCAAATTTGTGACTCCCCCTCCTTTCAGACTGATATTTTTGATTTTAGCCAGCAATATTCTCGTGTATATACCATCTGATTTAGCTGCAATTGCAATCATTTACCAGGGGGTAAGCTCTCAACTCACTGCTGCTTACCTCTGAGTAGGCATATATAAGATTGCACTGTCAGGGATTTAGGGAAAAGGGGTACTGAATCTGGCAAGGTGATACTTAACATTAGCGTTGTACCATTGACCCAAAGTGAAGCATTATATTTTTAAAGTATTGTTACTTAAGGCCTTTGAATTGTGCTGGAGAAGACTCCTGCGAGTCCCTTGGACCGCAAGGAGATCAAACCGGTCAGTCTTAGAGGAGATAGAAACAGAGCGAGTCAGAAGGGACCTCCTGGGCCATCTAGTCTGACCCCCGGCTCCAGCCGGCTCCGCTCACAACATGCCTCCCATATGCATGTCCAGCCTATCTTTGAACACCCTCAGCGATGGGGCCTCAACCAGCAACCCTGATAGGATCAACCCTGACTGCTCTTTAGAAGGCCAGATGCTGACGATGAAACTCAAATACTTTGGCCACCTAGTGAGAAGGAAGGACTCCCTGGAGAAGAGCCTAATGCTGGGAACAATAGGTGGCAAAAGAAGAAGGGGACGGCAGAGGATGGGGTGGCTGGATGGAGTCACTGAAGCAGTTGGTGTGAGCTTGGGTGGACTCCAGGGGATGGTGGAGGACAGGAGGGCCTGGAGGAATGTTGTCCATGGGGTCGCGATGGGTCGGACACGACTTCGCAACTAACAACACCGACAATTGTTAATGCTGAGCTGAATTCAAAATCTGAAATGCTGCACAATGTTACATTTGCTCAGTGATAAAAATGCACCGTTCCTAGACAACCAAAGGAAGAATTGCCTATCAGTTGCTAGCAGCAAATACGAAATAGTGAAGTTGCTACCTCTTCTGCAGACACAAAACTTCCCAAAAGCAATCAACTCACCAACCCACAGCCTGGAGTCTGAATGCAAATCGTGACAAGTCAGGGGTACCACTATTAGCTGCAGACTGCCCCAGGAAATTCACAGCGTTCCTAAAAAGGGACCCATTTATCTAAGGCCACTTCTAGAATGCATTTTACTCAGAAGCATTTATGGTTATAAGTGTGCATGGGTTACTCATTCATTGTATTTCGTTACTTTCTTGTGGTTTGGGTTGTATCCTAAGCATATAGTTTTTAATACTTTCCACGTGTTACAGTTTGCATGCTTTCCTCTCCTAAACGGTTTCCACTGGGAACGTAAAGCATGGCCATGTGCATGTTGCAAGCAATTGGATATTATCCGTGGTATCACTAGCAGTGACCGGCACAATGCCCACTTCCTTGCACGTGCCGTTTTGTGAATTTGTGAATCTTTTCATATTTTTTGCAAACTTCACACTGACTTGCTCCCAGGGCCACAAGTTTCCTGGAAAAGGTGAAGCACAAGGAAGGCGAGTCTCACTTGTTCTGAAGCTTCACTAGAGTTCTGAATGCTTTCTGGAAGCTTAGAAAAAGGCAAACAAGAGGAGACAAGACAGAGGTGCTTCAATTGATGCCTGGTGTGGGGAAAGTGGTGAGGGAGACATTTTCTTGCTCTCCCATGGCACGTGAACCCGGCATCATTCCGCAGAGCTGTTTGGTGGGAGGTTTAGGACAGATAAAGGAAGCACTTCTTCACAGTGTATAGTTAAACGATGGAATTTGCAGCATGGGAAGTGCTGATGGTTACCAATCGGGGTGGCTTTAAAGGGGAATTGGACAGATTCGCTGGGGAAGAGGCTACCAGTGGCTGCCAGCCTGGCTGGCTATGGGCTCCCCGCTTCACCAGTGGGGGTGCAAACATCAGCTGCTGCGGAGCTCGGGCAGGGGGAGGTCTTGCAGCCATTCTACCTGTGGGCAGCTGGTTTGCCTGCTGGCAGGCAGAATACTGGCCTGGATGGGCCTCTGGTCTGATCCAGCATGGCTTTCCTTATGTTCTTGTGAACGTCTCTTCAGTGTCTTTAGTTGTGCTTAAAATGTGTCCTAATTTACAAAGCTGAATGGGGCAGTCCTCGTCTGAAAGGCTGTCAGGAGGACCACTCTCGTTTCAAGCATCTTCTGTCCGAAGGGCTGCTCAGTCCAAGTCTAGTAGACTTACCCTAAGACAAGCCAGCAGGAGCGACCTCGGACTTAGAAACACAGGAAACACAGAAACAGAGCGAGTCAGAAGGGACCTCCTGGGCCATCTAGTGTGACCCCCGGCTCCAACCGGCTCCGCTCACGACATGCTCACTATGGGCATGTCCAGCCTATCTTTGAACAGCCTCACCGATGGGGCCTCAACCACCTCCCATGGAAGCCCAAGGACTTGTCCACCTATGGTTAGCACATGGAAAATAAACAGAGCAGAAGGCCCAGAAATCAGCCCACTGCAATCATCCCTGTATTCTCCCTGTTTAAATTACATCCATTGCTTCTAAATGTGCTTCTGTAGCTCGAAGTTTGCTGTCTGGGGGAATGCCACTTTTGTTGCATGAAGATATCCTCCTCCTCCTCCTCCTCCTCCTCCTCCTCCTCCTCCTCCTCCTACTTCTATTTCTAAGATGGGTACTCCCTGGAATCTCCCTCTTCTCTTTCTCAGTCATGTTGAACTTTCGCACATCACAAATATGTAAGTTTAGACATCCTTTTTGCATTCTTTCTTTCTGCCTTTCCCCCATTCTTTTTCTTGACTTCTTTATAGAGTGCAAAGTGCTGATAATGTTGGTGGAAGTAAATGCAATCTAAAAAGCACACCCCCTGCTGCAGTGCATGGGGGATGATACCTCACTAACTGACCCACGTTCCCCAAGGCAATCCCTATTTTTGGGTAGCAGCCCCTGGCAGAAAGTTGCTCCCCATTTTTTCTCCATCCTGTCATTTTAGGGAGACCTTGATGTGCTTTGAATGGCCAAAGAAGCAAGACCTGAATTTCCACTGAGGAGGTCACGGGGCGTGTGGTCAGACTTGGTGATGTGCTCAAGAGCAACCTTTGAAGGGAGCTTCAAAGCCGAATGGGGCAATTTGGTCCCCCCCACCCCCCCAGTCCTGGTCTGACACTCTCCAGGGACTGCAACAGAAATGAAGAAGGCTTAGAGCAGGTAGACCAGAAGAACACAGAGGTGCAAGGCAGGGGCTGAGGGGTGAGACTAAGGGCAGATCAGTGCGATATCAGTGGTACGAGAGGTTTCCAGTGTTCATTGGACAGATGCATTGCAAATGAATCATGTTTATCCTATGGCATAGGATTCTGTGCTACTGTTGCTGGATTGTAGATCCAGAAACCTGGTGTCCTCCACTTATATTGGCAATGATGTCTGAGATGATGGGAGCAGTAGTCCAAGACTCTAATGGCACCGAGCTGGAGAAGGTTGGTTTAGGAGATGACTGCACTCAGGATAATGCTGTTAGAGGTAACAGGGCATTGCCAGCTTTTGGACTGGCCACATCTCATGTTTAGAATAATAACCTGAGTTGGTATCAGGAGAGGAGCATAACCAAACATGTTTTCCTTGCTGCTTCGTGCAGATGGAAGTGGCTGTTAAAGGCAAAGTAGGTCATGCAGTGGAGGCATGCTTTAAAGCAACACGCCAGCAACATAATTAGCATGACTTTAAAGTGTTTGAAACACTAAAATTCAAATGCTTTCTTTTGCAAATGAGAAGTAGCATAGGAACATTGCTAATGAACAAATAATAAATGAAGCTCCCTTCTCAAATGTGGTGTCTTCCAGAAGTGCTGGATTTCAGTGGCCTTCCTGGAAGGAGGCTCATGGTCACTGTCTTCCTAAACTTAGACCAACTCTAGAACTGAGGTCACTGGTAGGATGAAGGGGTCAGTGGGTTTCCCCAGGCTTTTCTGGGGAATTTATGGCTGAGCTAAGATCGAGCCCAGGGGCTTTCAGATGCAAAGCTGTGGCTTCCCAGCTCTCAGCTCATGCTCTTATCCCCTTCACCAGGCCATCCTGCATCCCCCAGACAGCCCAAACTTCGGATGATCCCCCCTCCCCATTTCCAATCACTGCATTTTCCCTCAGATGCACAGACACCGCCTCTCTACCCTCTCCTCTCTGAGTCTGATCTCTGCTGTTCCTCAGGATCTCCGAGGTTCACAGGACACCTTCGGGATCTGCTTGATGCGGAAATGGAAGAGAACGCTCAGCACGACGCGCGAGCTCAGAACCACTGGATCCTGCGCAAGAGCCTACCTGGAGACCAGCTTGATGAACTTCTGCTGTGGCTAAAAGCCCTGGAGTTAATACAGAACCACCAATGAAAGACAGAAGAGGAACTGGAGGCTGTTGCTTACCCAGGAGGGAGCACAAGAGCCAGAAGATGAAAACGTCCTTCATTAATCGTGCGGTGAGTCGGGAGCAAGGCCAGCTTCTCCCAGTCCCGGCTAAACCCTTCCGGAGAGGCTCCCGATTCCCACGCTGATGATCCAGGCCTCTGGGCTGCTCCCTCGGCTCAGGCTGTGTCGGGAAGGCAGCGCTCCTCTCCCTGCTTCAGCACATGGAGCGCAGCGGGCACCTGTGGGTGCGAGAGCCTGACCGGGACAGCTCCCCGGCGAAAGCCCCCCAGGCGTGCCGAGCCACGTGACCGTGGCCGTGGAGACTCTGAACCTTCCCGTGCTCTGAATCAAGGCCAGGCATATTTCCTGAGAAGCTGCTTCCTGCTGGCATTCCTCAGAACGAGGGCTTGTCTTTCCGGTCCAGTGGCTTTTTTTTTTCTTTCCCTTTTTGCGAAAGACGCGGGGCCCACGCCTCAGCCTGTGGCTACGGAACCTCTGCCGTTTGCGCCGCGCGGCTTGCGCAGGTGCTGCTGAGAACAGCCTTCTGGAAAGGTTGCGCAGCGCAATGGGGGCCAGGGCAGCGTGTGACTCAGGAAAGGCCTTTTCATTTCAGATTCATTCATTTAAAAGCAGCCGAGGAAGTAAAATCAGAAGGACACACCAAATGGGAGCAGCCGCATGAAGTCTTCCAGGATCCTAAACAACCGGGAGCGCCTGGAGAGCAGCAGTGCGTTGGGCCTTTGGCTGCATTTCATAGGCCCTCCGACCCTTTCCCGGCCATTTGCTGAGCAGAGAAGTTGGGGTGCAGATAGATATGGGGGTGGCAAAGAGAAAATTTATTTATTTATTAAAACATTTCTGTGCCCCCCCTTCGCCGAAGCCTCGGGGTGGCTCACAACATTAGGTCAAAATACAAGAAATAACAATATAAAATAAGTCGCCCTGGCCAGATAAAATAATCAAATAATATTATCAAAAATGGGATGGCAGAAAGGGAGGGGGGAAAGGGTAGCACCACCTACCATTGGCTTCAACTCCACGCACTAGTGGGAAGACTCCCCCATTGAAGGCCATATTCCCGCTAACCCTAATACGGCCTTCAGCGGGGAGAAAGGGTTTCCCACCTGCGCTCTACAGCGGCTTCACAGGCTCAGTGCCTCCCAAATGTATTGGACTACAACTCCCATTACTCAGGTTCTTCCCATTGGCCAGCTAATAATAGGGGATACTCGGGGGATGTCGTTCTTCACGTTTGGTGGGCGCTGAGTTGGGGGCAGTCTGACATCCTCTGCGGGGTGAAAAGGAGACGAATGGACAAGGGATCGTTTGGTTCAGTCTGAAAAAAATGCGGGAGGTTCTGCAGGGGGAGAAATTGGGCGGGGGGACGGGGGACGATCCAGCAAGGCTGTGCTAATATCGCTGTGAGTTTAGGCCAAGTGTGAAGGAGATGCTTGCTCTGGGGGGGGGGGGGGACTTTGGGATGCCTTGGGGCCGCTTCCACTCCTAGACCTGTCTTGTGGGCCAGGTCGAAAGAATCCATTTTTTGCTTTGGAGGATGGCAGAAGCCACGCAAGGAGGCGAGGAGGAGCCCCGTGTCACGTGGATCTCAAGCAGCTCTGTCCCACGATACTTCAGTAGGTCCTTCACATTTTCCGGGGGGAGGGGTTCTGGGGGCAGCAGCTGGCAGGTCTGTTTTCCTCCGGGTGAGAGAATTCCAAAGGTAGCATCTTTTGCAACGTGCAATGCCTTTCTGATCGCATGCAAGTAAACGGAGGACTGCAACGGGGGCAGGCGCTTGTGCCACGACCCGGGGGCCTTCAGCCAACTCACGGCGCTGCTCTTTGGCCTCCAGATTTCACAACAGCCCGCCAGACAGCACGCGTGTGACAGCAGCTCTCCCTCCCCCCACTGCTTGCACACACGCACACCAGATTTCAACAACCGTCACACGGGAGCCCAGGGCTATCACACAGACCAAGCGTTGCCCCCATGCAGTGACGGAAGCAGGTTGCGGGAACGGCCTCGCTACGCATAACGTAAACCCTGACGCTGCAGGCACACCAAATCGTCGCACAATCGTTAGTGACCTTGCATGGAAAAGGAGCTGGGAAGGCACTCATCAAAGCAAAAAGCACATGCATCACAAATGCTTGCACTGCACTTTCTTGTGTTCAGGGTATCGATATGTCAAATGAAAAATGTAAAGCGTAGCAATCTGTTTAAACCCTGTTCTGGCAGTTCCTTGTTTCCTCACAAGTGGGGGGCTCAACAAAGCAGGAGGCCTGCCTGAGCATGTTCGAGATGAAGAGGGACTTACACAGAAGGAAGGCTGTGGTGGGCTGGGGAGGCAGGACACTGTTCCTGGTTCCTGGCGAAGGCAGGAGCGAAGGGCAGCTCTAACGGGAGCCAGTGGGGTTACTCCTGCCGGGGCTCGGAGCCCTTTCGTATTTACGTAGCGGCATCCGTAAACGTGGCGCTTGGTGAAGGTGTCCCCCGGGGGCCCTTAGAGCAGAAACACTGCTGCACACGTGCCGGCACATTTCCACACACGTGTCACGCCTGGCCTCCCCACTGTCACCACCACCCTCCCCACGCCCTCTTGGCTGGACTGGCTCAAAGTCGCATGAAGCAAGCAGCACTGCTCTCAGCAGCTTGTTTGGGTTCGGGGGCACCCCTGCCCTGCCTCGCACCCGGGGCCCTTTTGCTTCGGTTGAGATAACTGCAGGGGGCACGCTCCATTCATGAATCGTTCCCCTTTCTGACCTCGTACTCTTGAGAAAGTCCTTTTTTGCAGCTATTTTCTTCTGCACAGGGACTGTTCTAACTCATGTGCACTCCTTTCTCCTTTCTTACATTTTGAACTGGCAAATGGATGGCGCGTCTCCCCATGGAGAGAATAAGGAAGCCTGGAGAAGGTACTATTAGATCATTACAGAGTCTAGATAACGATTTTCCTTTCTGAGAGCCCTGATTTGCATTTCAGGTCGGGGAACTTGCAGCACAGCTCAGTGATCGGTTTCGTGCGTTCAGGCCGGCACCGGCTCAGCAGCTGGAGCCGCTGTCCTAGGTCTAAGAACCACCAATCAGTGCTTCATTCATCAACTCTATGGGAAAGGGATCTTCACCCCCAGCCAGCCCGCCTCACTTGCCACTGTATGTTCCCTGCATGCCCTAGAACGGGGCAGGCAGCCGTGGCCCCCGCGCTGCTGAAACTGGAGGTGGGACTCTTCCCCAGGAAGGAGCGCTATCTGGGTCCCGAGCAGCTTTCTGCTTTACAGATTGTAACAGGCACAGCCAAGCACAAGGCTGCGTTCCCCGCTGCTCCCGCCAAGCACCCGTGTGGCTTCCACCTTCATGGCTCTTGGCGTGGAAGTGTCCGGCCTGCAGTCAGCCTCGTGATGACCACTCTCCTCCCTCCTGTCTTCTCTCTCTCCGTCCCCTGCATGGTGTTCCAGGAGGCACCGTGGAGAGGGCTCAGTTCAGACATCTTTCCTAGGGCTGGGGCTGAGGAATGCCATACCTTCTCCCATACCCTCTGGATCAGACAACCTGGCCCTGCACTTTTCCCATCTCCTAGACTAGCTTTCCCAATCTGCTGCCCTTCAGATGTTGTGGGCTTTGACCCCAGCATCCTGACTATTAACCATGCTAGCTTAGTTTTTGTATATCTGAGACACACAAGGTTAGGGAAAGCTATTATAGACCTTGCAGAAGTCAAAGGACTGGGAATCAGGCAAGGCCCACAGCTGGGTCCTTCAAGGAGGTAGAGCCTAACGCAGAATTGGCCTGGCCTTTATAATTCTTCAGACGACTTCAGCCTCCTGCTGAAACAACAGCTTTCTATAGCTCAGACTGCAGGACCAACTGGGAAGTTTCCAAGGTCCTGATTTCTGCTCTGAAAGACCTGCCTTCAGCAGCTTTATCTGGCTGGAGCTGATGCTACAAGCCTAAAACTCCAACAGGATAGAGCAAGACTTCTTCAGTTATCCATCCCTGCTCAACCTACTCCACCAGATCCTTTTGCTCAGCCTCACAGCTGACATACCAATGGGGCCCCTCAGCCTCAGCCAAAGAGACATAGAAGCGTAGAAAGACGAGCAAACTGCAATTTCCAATACAAGGTCTGCAATACAAGCTATTTGGAATAAAATGTTAATCAGAAGAAATAGAAACCATGGCTCAATTGTGCATTTTCTACACAGCTCTTTCACAAAAGAATGCTTTGAGGTGCGGTGGTAAAATGTGGGAAACAGGAAATACAATCCACCTTTTAGTACCAATCACTCTGAGTGAAAATATGTTTTTAAAAGTCTAACTAGAATCTTTTACTATGAATATAGAATTTTCCATTCCCTCTCTGGGCTTTCCTGGGATGTTTTAGTGCAAAACTCACAAACTTGATCTTGGCAAGGCTTCGAACCCCCTGTGGTCATTCTCATCGCTTTTAGGAGGATGGCAGTCACTGAAGCGGGATTCTTGAAATGTAATTAGTGTGCCGAGGCAGGTATTCATCGAATACAGGTTCTGGACCACTGCCTAGTTCCAAGTCTCTGCTTCCTCCCGGGACCCCCTCTTCCAAGCCCTCAAGAGAGGCATTGAAAAGAGAGTGTTCTACTGTATCTCCTCCACAACTGCTAGAGTCATTTTCAAATCCTCTCTCGAGAAGGAACTCACAGGCATCCTGCTTGCCTAGTATCCAAAACGGAGTTACCTCTGAGCCATCTAGTATTTCAGGAATGGCTTCAGGAGAGCCTCCTGCAGCCACAGGCTGCATCCTGCTGAGAAAGATACAGTCAGGTCGTTCCATTTGGATGGGCCACTGGAGTGAGAAGTCTATATCCCAGTTCCCATTTTGCTGTCCTTCTCCAGCAGCTGGAGCACTGGTTGGAAACCTGAGGAATTCTTCCACCAAAGAATTCTCAGAAAATGATGTCCTCCTACTCTCTGGAAGTCCAGAAATATCTTCCTCTGCCAAAATCAATGACCCTGGCACCATTAAATCTGGCCAACACCCTTCATTTGGCAGAAAGCTTCCAGCTTGGGAAGACAAGTCTGCTGTTTTCTGCCCTGTGTCCGTCACTTGGCAGTGTGTGTGTTTCCTCTGGAACTGACGCACTTCAGTGTAAGGTATGTGATTCCCACTGTCATCCTCATCTTCATCCTCATCTTCATCTTCACCCTCATCTTCTTCCAACAGTGAAGGAGAGAAGGTCGAGTATATTTGGGGGCCAGGCCTGGTCCTCCTTCCTGATACGAAAGGCACAGCAGTGCATGTGAGGTCATCCACCTGGATCAATTCCCTCTGGCTGAATTCCAGCAGCTTATTTGGACTCCTGTGCCCAGGAAAATCCTGATTAAGGAAGAAAAAGACATTTCAATCATTTAGAGGTATCTGACTGGACCGCTTAATTCTGGATTTAAAAAACCACAACAATTTTAACCCAGTTTAGATCTTGCTAATGGCTAATAGTTAGGGGGAGTACTGAATCATGTGAAAAGCAGGTGACAAATATTTGCAGATGTTTAAAATGCGTCCACAGTTTCATTTTTTCCATCCAAGATTCAAGAATGCGAGGTTTCTCCCTTAAAATCCAGGTCCTCTGCTCTTGTTGGGAGCATTTAGTTGTTCCGAGTGAGGCAGGCACCAAAGTTGAAATCTTTTCAGCTGTCAAGTGGGAAAAATTAAGCACCTTCATACGTTCAAATCAGCTGTTAGAACCAACTATTGAAACTGACAAGCTATGAGAAGAATCATACAGGTCAGTGCCAGGGGTGCAAGGACCAGCTTCAGATGCAGAAAGGCTACTGGTTAAACACACTGCGAAATGCTGGAGAGTGGTGTCCATTGCTTTAAGGCACAACCCTACAAAGGTTTAGAGAGCAAAAACGGGACATCCCACCCAGCTGTGCTGGGGATTTAGGCCGCCTTTCTGTCTAAACACGCACAGCACTTACCCTTTACTAGATCAGACAGAGCAAACTTGTGGTTCATCATGAAACACTATCATACATTTGTAATGACAGCTAACAAATGCTAATATGTATAGAGAAATCTTATATAAAATAGTGACTGCTCATGAAAGTTCTTGTTCAGTATCAACACTTGCAGAAGAAAGTTTCAGGAGCAAACTTGTTTTAACTCTAGTGAGAAGCAGCTATATTGGATTAAAATGAACAGGACCCAGTAGGAATAAGGTGCCAGACACACACTTTGTCAGAGACACTCAATGAAATGCTTCCTGAAGCTTTCAAAAGCATCTTATCTGGTTCTTTTTTCTTCCTTCAGTGGCCACTTCCAGCTTATTCACATTTCTGTTAACACCATCTCCCAGATGCTTCTGGGCTTTGTTCAAAACACACTGTATTTAACTGAACAGTGATGTAGTCTCCTGAAAAGCATGTTTGCGTCTCAGCAGCTGGTGCTAAGAGTTTCCCCTAACTTTGTGTTGAGGCAGTCAGTTTCCTCCAGGAAATACTGTCCATCTCAACCTGTTTACTCAGGAGCAAACCCAAAAGGCCTGCCGAGAAATCTCCATCAAGCTACAGAGGATTCGGGGGGTTTTCTAGGGATCATCTTCTCTTTGTGCGGTGCAGCGGCCAAACCTCACAGTTGTTCTCGCTGAGCTGAAAGCACTCCCCACCTGTTGCATGGGGAAGATCGTTCGCCATGAGGAACGGTCTTCCGTTGCTCTTCTTCCCATCAAGGAACCTCCAGCAGGTAAGGGAGGAAAGCAAGGGTGCCCGGGAACACAGCACAGAGGCCCCTTAAACTTAGAGATGGGGGCCTCGCTTCACCTTTCCATTTTGGAAAAGCTCTCCAGGGCCGCACTCCAATGGGCCAAGAGCAATGGGGCAGGACACAACGCACCAGGATTATGTGCATGTGGTCACTTCAAGCTCTTCCTGCTGGTAACCAAGTTTTAGGAGAAGCATTTCAGCCTTTGAGAAAAGCACCGGGGCGTGAGGCTTCAGCCCAGCCCTCCGAAGTGATGCCTCAGGGAGATGCAGGTTTGGTTCTGGCCCAGGTGAGTGGGGGAAGAGGTGGCTGAGGCCCAAGACCAGGGCAGCTACACACGGGTGGGGGTCAACAGACACTTCTGGGGCTGGAGCACCAAGTGGGGCAGGGATGGTTGTCAGAGGCCGCAGGATCAGGTGTCAACTGAGGGCTGAGGAGCCAACCAGCTTTTCAAGAAACGCTTTGCCAAAGACTCTCTTCAAGCAAAGCCTCTGCCATGAAGGTGGCGCTTCCCTGGAGGCCTGGCCTGAACAGGAGGGCTCCAGCCCGCTTCCCATATCCTGGCTTTAATGCTCTCAAATCTGCCATATTTGCTTTCTAAGATGCGAAGACGGCTTGATGCTGTTGGTGCAACTGGTGTAAAGCAATCAGCTGTGTGGTGGGAAGGCCTGGCTTGTTTGTAGCTTTTTACATTATGAAAAGCAAATCCATTAGAATTACAAACCAGAGCCCTGTCTGCCTTCAGAGGCAGGGTCCCCTCTGCAAAAAAGCTGGACAATCATCAACTATCTGGAGAAAGGTTGGAGAAAGGATTGGCAACCCAGGAAGTTCACCTTGGCTGCTCTACAGGATGGTGGGAGGAGGACTGATCCTGGCTCAAAAGCATTTGGTAAGAATCACAAATAACTATAGGGTGGGGGCGGGGGAACTATCTATTTCGAAAACTTCCCATACCAAGACTTCAGGCATCTTGATTTGAGTAAACCTGTTCTTGTAACACAAGAAGACGACCAAGGCACCAGCAGATAACATGAGCAGCAATGGCAGGGCCACCCACTTCCAGTTTTCCCCTGCAAAACAAAAGCGGGAAACCCCCAAAGCAAGCGGTTAGGACACAGAACATTCTTCAAATGCAAATACTTGGAGTCCTGGAGGCGAGAGCACATAAATTATCATGTGCAGCCACAGCCCAGACACAGGAGGGTCTTGGTCAGGCGTGGTGCTGGTGAGGCCAGATGCAGCAGCGGCTCTCCAGGGGAGCACCCAGAGGCCCCTCAGAGCCCGTCCTGCAGCGGGCAGGCAGCCACAGTAGCCGTGGAGTCGCCACAGTCCCCGGCAAGGGCAGCAAAAGGGGAGGAGTGAAGATGCTGTGGCCACTACTAGGGCGGACAGCTTTAAAGCTGGGGGGGGGGGGGTGTTACACGCAGAAGACATGGCTTCAATGAAGGGCTACAGCCCAGGTGACGGAATGACCTCTCAGGTAAGGCTAGGAAGGAACCCTGCACGGACCACCAGCCCACGGCTGCAGGCCTGGGTCAGCAGTGCCGAACGAGAGACAGCTTCCAAAGCCTATCAGTAGCTGCTAGTCCTGACAGACCAGCACTGGAGGCTCAACTCAAAGCATCCGTCTAACTTTTAAAGGCACGAGGCTTATCCCCCTAAGGGGCCTCCTGTTTCGACATGAGCCTGTTAAGAGCTGCAAGAGGGGCTCTTTCCCCGGCACCCCGACACAAACAGAGGCCCTTTTGCCTGTGTCCTTCGGAGTGCACTTCTTCAGGGAGCAGGAGGGCCCTCCCTGTTCTCTTGGCTTTCATCATTCAGCAGTATTCTACCTTGGCTTGTTTCTTTTGTTACTGATGCCTGCAGTTCCCCTCTTTTGTACTAAAGCCAGCCTAGCAGGCCAGCTTTACCATAATGAAGGCTTTTGGTTAGAGACACTTTGTAGGAGATGGAAAGAAAAGACACACACATAGTACAGCTGCTAGGGAACATGGCTGTGGGTTTCTCTCAGGCAACTGGATGGACACTGTGTAAACAGGATGCTGTGGACTTCGGCCTGATCCAGGAGGGATTTTCTCGTGTTCTTAAAGGAAACGCTGAAGTGGCTGATGAAAGCTGGTGGAAGAGGGCAAGGTGCCCTGGAACTCTGCCTTGGGAGGGAGGGAGGGCCAGGAAAGGGAAGAAGGGTTCTCCTCCCTTCGCCTGAGAACTTCTGCCATCCCCAACACGCTTTTCATGAATTACAACGATCACGAGGCAGGTTCCTCTGTATCGCCGCTGGCCTCCTCTCTTGCTTGTCGATCCAACTGGCTGGATCAGAACACACAGCGAAGAGGGTGGTGGAAGCCCCTTTGAAGGCTGTACCTTTCTCATGCAGCAGCAGGCAGCTGGGCTTGGAGAAGCTGCTCCATTTCTTGCTCGTGGGGAAGAAACCTCGCGCACGGAGGCAGTAATTGCCACTGCTCAGCTGCGTAATGTTGATGTCGATTGCCTGGTCCATCATCATATTTCTGTATGGCATCTGACAGATGAAGCAAAGCAAGTCTTGGAGTCAAGTGAGGGACCAGCAAGAATGTGAGCCAGAAAATAGCCCAGCAACACAACAATCCTGGGGGAGCTCAAATGATCGTTCAAGCAGCCAACCTCCTTCGCCGCACAGAGAACCGCTCCCAGCCTGGAGGGTCAAGCGCCATTTCAGGACTGTTCCTGGGGGCTGCTCCGCAGAGGTGGGCAAAAGCGGCAGGGACAAAATGCCAGGATGTGTTATCTTAAAGCTCTTCCTGCCAGCAACTAACCTTTAGGAGAGGAATTTCAAGCTTTTAGAATGAAAAAAGGAAACCACGAAATGACAGTCCAGCATAGGTTCTGGGGCCAAGAAAAGGAAGCATGGCGATTGCAGAGAGCCCCGATGGGTTAGATGGAGCCCCCCAAAAGGCCACATCAGCCTGCAAGGTTGAGTTTCCTCACCCTGCATGATTCGCTTTCCTTTTATGCTTTTTTAACAGCAAGGCTGAGAGAAGCCTAGCAAGTCGAGCTTTTCCCAGTATGAAGATAAAGCTAGGATGGTCGCTCTTCCCCTGGCAAACCTCTGCATTTCAGGCAGTTATCCAGGCCGAGAGATGAGGGCAGTCCAGAAAGCAGCCGTCCTACGCCTGGACACAGAGGGCATCCCTTGCCTTACTGCCCAACGGCCCAGCGCTGTCTGGGGCAACCAAGGCTGCTGCAGGCAAGCTCATGACTCGCCCAGCTCAGTTCAGTCAATCAGCCAACTTCAAGCAGGGGAATCGTTTCCAGTCCTGCTACCTTACGGGGGAAGGTGGACAGACACAGGAAGAGGCCATGACGTCTCCTGTGGTGGGCAAGTGGGTGCGCAGAATTGTCCCATGCTAGGATCTTCCAGAGAGCAGCTTCTTCCAAAGTAGAACTCTCCAGGTGTGTGGGGCAGCTCCCCAAATTCCCCAGCTGTAGTCTCACACAACTGAAGGGCATGGGTTTAGAGAGGACAGCTGTTTCCACTGCAAGGGTTCCATCCCTAAATTTTTATTCAATTTATTAATTACAAAAAATTATAACCCATTTATCTTTGAAACATTCATTTTATTTATTGATTTGTGTCCTATCATTCTATCAGGAAAATGGCATGCGAAGCAGCTACTTCTGGCTGGCTTGCAAGAGGTAAACAACTTTCCCTTAAAAAGCCATCCCTCCGGTACAGTGAACACAACCGCAGCAGAAAGCCATCACACAGAACTCACAAAACACTAACAGAAACTCACACAGACCTTACAAGCATATTCAAAATACTGTTATGTTTTTGGGGCTGCTCTGAATGCCTCTCAAAGCTGTATGAGGATTTTCCGAGCCTGATCGGGGTCCCTTCCAGTGCTGTACAGGTTGGTCCTAAGAGCCAGTGTGGATGTCACAGACAATTCCTGTCTTATAATAAACCCAGGAATTAGTGGGGAGTGAGCAAGTGAGCAAGATAGTTCCTTCCTAACCATTTGCCAATTCTGCCCACTTGTAAGTAACAGCCCGGGAGTGCTGTGTAACTGGGTTGTTTCCTGATGTTACACAACAAGAAATTATTCTTAACTTTGGGTCGCTCTAGTTCGTTCGCAAACTACTCATGCTTAACAAGCCACGGGTTGTTCGATCGTGTGAACAGAAACTTTGATTTCTGTATGTAGAGCCATTCATGTGCTTCCCGGAGGCAACACCCTTAAGCCCTGACGAAAGTATGGTTGATTGTAACATTGCAGCAGTGTGGGATGCTAGGGAGCGAGGATGACCCAAGAAGGCACAGGTGACAGGTGTAGATACCCCATATTTCTTCCTTGCAGTCGCCAAAGCAAAGGGTGAGCGAGTTCCGTGTGTGTAGCAGGAACAGAACAGTCTGTGTTGGAACAGAGTCCAGCAGAAATCAGAGAACTGATTTTGCTCTAGAAGCCCTACAAGACTGAAGGGGAGCAAGAAACTGATGGCATGCTCATGCTGTGGGTCCTCGTCTTATGCTCAGCTTACACACACACACACATATATATGAATAAATATTATACCACAGAAACAACATGGGTCTCCAGCAACCTACTTGTGGGGGCCCTGAACCCTGGGTATGCCACGGAACCCCCGAGACTTCTCACTCTTGAACTCAGAATGTGTGCGTGTAAAACGCGCTAGTGCGCAGAACCAATTAAAATAGCCAAAATCACTCATCAAAGCCTTTCCTAAAAAGGAAGGTCTTCACTATTTTCCATGAGGTTGTTAGCAAGGAAATGAGGTGGGTTGCTTTTGGACAGCAAAACCCTTGCGTATGTTGAAGAGAAGGTGCTGAACACAGCTTGGGCCCAGGGTACCCAAAGGACAGGCTTCTCTCACACGTACCCACCCAATTGCTAAGACCTGGTTCAGAGGCCCTTCCTGAAGCGCCATCGCCAAAGGAGGTGAAGGGGAAGGCGAACAGAAGAGCCTTCTCAGTGGCTGTACCCTCTCTCTCGAGTTGGCTCCCCAGAGAAGCTCACACGGGGCCTTCCTTACAATCATTCTGGGGCCAGGCATAACCAGTTTTATTTTCCAGGTATTTTAATGATTAAGTAAGTACTGCTGAATTAATTTTAATTTTAGTTGACTGATTAAATCATTTTTGATGATTTATCCAATATCCTGACTGAGGATAACTTTTGCTAAAATTCTATATGGCAGTCTTAGTCATTTATGTTTTTAATAGATTTTTAAAATATATTTTAATCATTATTTATTGTATAAATTTATATGATATTGTTGTTGGATGTACAGCACCCAGGGAGTCCCATTGGGGACTGCTGAATGCAGTTTTATAAATCAAATATATAATACTAAATAATAATAATTCTGAAGAGGACTGTACCTTGTGTTTTGTGGAAATTTTGTTTGAATTGAGGGACTAACTGAAATTCCTTGGAGAAATGGTGGGATACAAAATACATACTTCTCAAGTAAACTCTAACATGGGAAGAATGTTAGATATCTGAGTAAGTGCTTCTAGTATTGCCTAGCCATCTTCTACTCACGATGTCCTCTGTTCCAGTTGCCCAGAACTCCAAGTCATAGGCCAGATGCTGGAAAATGTCCTTCACACAGGATGGGTAGGAGAAAGTAGTGTTGACCAGAAGACTGGTTTTTTTTCTTTCTACTTGTAGACGTGGCGGCGCAAGTTCCACTGGAAATAGTTGGGCAGGAATTTAGGACAACAGAAAAGTAAAGCTGATAACTCTAAGAACCACACCCATCCCTGGGCATGGCAGGTGAGCTGGCTGGATGGCCTGCATCAGCACCACCATCTCCTGCACAACCTCACACCCCCCTTGTAAACATTCCTGCGGTGATGTCACCCTCCATCACACTGCCCTGGTGCGTGGCTTTAACGGTAACTTTTAAAGGACCAAGAACTTTATTTTAGACTCTTCGCTTTCCTCTGACCCCTATACTCAGCCCATCACCAAGTCATGAAACTTCCCCGTTCACAGCGTCCCTAAATATGACAGCTCTCCCCCATTCCCTTTGAGCCACGCTGAGCCCGTCCCCCGTCTTGCCTTGTGCAACCTTCTCTCCAAGCCTTGGGGCTCCACATCTCATACTCGTGGTCCCTGGAGAATCCTCATGAGCAGGGAAAAGTGCAATTTTATACGTGTCTAACCAGAAAAGGGTCCCATAATTTCCAGCATTCCCCAGCCGGCATGGAAGACTTTTCCCCATCCAAGCACTCACAGGGCTGCACCCTTACAGTTTTAAGAGGGTTTTTTCTATATTTGCCAGGCTGAGAAAGGGGCCCCTGAATGTATACAGAGGTGGTGAACCAGGTGTGCTTCCACCTGCCAAGGTCTCTAAGACAGACAGGGTCACTTCCAGGGATGCAGCTCCTTTCCTCTTGCACATTAACATTCCAGAACTTTAGTAGAAAACACCTGCAGCAGCATCAAGCCAACTCAGGTCCCAAACGTACCATCAACAGCATATTCAATGCCTTTGTCCAGCTGCACCCATGCAGATGAGACGTTTCCATCACTGGTCCTTGTCTGAGCTTTCACCCGGACCCAGTGCCGGTTGTTCTGCTCTGGAGAAACACAGGTTAAGTTGCAGGTGCTCTCAAGGATGTCTCTGCAATGCGAGACATCATTCCACTGAGCATCGTATGGGTCTCTGAAAGATAAAGCAAGAATAGCCCAGTGGAGTTAGCGCTCAGACTCACCTGGACACAGCAAGTCCAGCAGGGCCTGCCAAGTAATTGGCAGTAGATGGTGGGGCTAAACTGCAACTGGGGCTTGCCAAGACGTAGCCCCAAGGGGTTTTCCTTTTCAATGCTAGGTGGCAAGTGCAGTTTGTGGCTAGCCTAAGAAAACGCTGTGAGATAGAGAACAGCTGAATGCAGCTGAAATGGAGAACTGATTTTGGGTTTCACTGACGGAGGAATAAAAGCCCAAATGGACAGAAGGTAGACGGAAGATGAGTACTGGCAGATCTCTGAGGGACTTGCTGCAGATCGTGTTGGATTCTCTTTCTCAATTATTTAGCAGCAGCAGCAGCAGCAGCAACGAAATTACTCTCCAGCCACACCCTCAATTGTACTGCTGGGTGAAAAAGGGTAGGTGTAAGCAAAGCGGATTTTTGTGTGGGCGTCAAAAAGTTTCAGCACTCAGAACTGAGTGAATTCTTTATCTCAGAATAGGACGATCTTCAGAGGGTCTGTCCTGCAATTCCTGCCATGCGTCACCACTTGCTATGCAGGCGACAGCTAAGGGAATAGTGGACTGAAGTATCCAGCCGGTCGCTGTGTACCCACCCCTGCTCCGGTTGTAGGCTCTATGTACAAGGCTGCAGTTTGTGGATTTCAGGGATCTGATAAAAAACAGTGTAGATCCTGGAGATCACTCCTGCAAACTGAAAAGCCACAACCACACCTGCCCCCTCAACATCGCCCCCAGAATGAGAGTGGGAAGGCCTTTCCAAGTTGGACAGTTTTCTATGCAAACATCTATGAATTCTATGCGAACTTCAAGCTCAGCATCCTTTACCTGGAAGCGCCCCACCAGGAACGCCTATCTCTGTGTTAAACAGCTTGGTTTTACATGTCCAGGAGAAGCAGCTTGCACTACAGCGGTCGCTTCAGTTGTGGGTCATGCTGAGAAGGCCGGAGCTGCATTAGACTTTGGAGAGGGCACTGCGAGAAGGGCTGCCTGGCCACTTCTCCTATAAAGAGCAGCTGTTGCAGGAAAGAGGACAGTCCTCGGAAGCCTTACGAAGTCTTTCAAACACCTGCTGGTTTCTGACTGCAGCGCTTAAAGGGCCTGTGGCTGAAGGTTAGGAGACCCTGCCGGGATGCTCTGAAAGGGCTCCTCCTGAAGCAGGTGACCTAGTCACTTTCTCTGCAGGGCCGTGCACAGTCTCAGAACCAGGGGCCCCATGCTTTGCATTATTTTTTTCTTTTTCTGTTCCTATGTTGGCATGTTTACACCATGTTCTCATTTTATTTTGCACCTTCCCCAACAAGCGTGCATTTTTTTTTTAAAGTGTAACATCTGGCAGCACTAATGCATTTCCCACCCATCCTGAATCTGACTTGCGGGCTACGATAGTCCAACCAGCAACTGATCCAGAAATCCGGTTCAACTGGATGTCAAGTTTTCCCTCATCGGCTCCGCAAAGTGCAGGAGCCTAGAGTGAACAGCTTGAGCAACTGGAAGGGGACTCACCAACTGGATTATTCTCCTTCTCCCTCCAATTTCTTGTGTGCCAATATGGTGCAGTGGTTAGAAACAGTGAGACATAGTAGTTATAGCACTGCACTGGGAAGTCCCAGGTTTCAGTCCCCACTCAAACCATTAAGTCTGGGCAGTCACGGATTCTCAGCCTAGCCTACTTCACAGGGCTGTTGTTGGGAGGATAAGATTGAGAGGAGGTTCATGTACACCACTTGGGACTCCTTGGAGGAACACGCAGGACTCAAATGGAATAAATAATAGATAAAATGAAATAAAATAGAATAGTTGTATCCCAGGAGAATGCAAGTTTAGCTGTTTCCCCTTCCCTTTGATGCTCACATCCATTGGACAGTGTAGGAGACCTGGGGAGGGTATCCGTCTGCTGGCAGCCACATCAAGAACAGTTCAAAATCCTTCAACACAAGAGTGACGTTCCGTGGTGGCTGCAGAAATCCTCTGCCTGTCAGAAAGAAAGGCTCCATTAAGTGCTCTGATCGGTGCATCCAGTTTTTTGTTCATAAGGATGCCCCAAGGCTCAGGCAAACTGCCTCGGGGAGGCCCCCCTTTCCACTAATTCACACACACAACTCACAAGAAACTTTTCATACTTTCAGCTTCTAGTTCACTAACCAATGCCTCTAAGCACACCACCGCACACAAAGAAACATAACAAATGCCTTCTCTGAGAGACCACATCCTGTATGCCCATGAGTGCAACATCTGTGAACAAAGAAAATAAACTTCTTGTTTCAGAAAAATTGCTTCCCCTACTATGAATAATCCTGCCAACCTTGCAGTTCGAAAGCATGCAAGTGCAAGTAGATAAAAAGGTGCCACTTTGGTGGGCAGGTGACAGCGTTCCGTGCACTCTGGTGTTTAGTCCTGCCGGCCACATGACCATGGAGACTGTCTGCGGACAAACACCGGCTCTCTCGGCCAGGAAACAGAGATGAGCAGAGCCCCTAGAGTCAGGCACGGCTGGACTTGACATCAAGGGGAAACCTTTGCCTTGACCTTCACCATGAATAAACTAAAACGTGTGTGACTAATACACTGGAACACATACTGCTCAATCTAACGCTAACGCCTCTGGAATAATGTGTCCTCTGTGCCCCTTGAGGTCTGAGGCAGAGGTCCCTCTCCAGGAGCCCTCCTTGAAGGAGGGCAGTTACCTGGCGAAGGGCCTTTTCAGTGGTGATGCCCCAGCTCTGGATTTCCCCAGGAAGGTTCACTTGCCACTGTCGCTTTATTCTTTTCAGTGTCAGGCAAAACCCTTTTTATTTTCCCATCATTTTAATGTTTAATTGGTTTTATTCTGGGATTTATTATTGAGGTTGGATGCAGTGCCTTGCTTTATGTTTTCAGGTTTTTTTCTTTCTTTTTTCTTGTAAGCTGTCTGGTGACGCTTGTAGTGGATGGCCTATATAAAGCTTATAATAAATAATTAAATGAATGAATGAATTAAAAAACTCACTGAAATGACTGTAACTTCAGTAAGTCATGCCTAAATCTCATTCATTTCACTGGGCCTTTTTAATTGGGATTGATGCTTAATTTAAACCCCAGCTTGCTTGTTTGTAACATAATGCATTTCTCACACTCCCAGTCAGCTTTCCACTAAGATGGGGAAAAGTATATGAAATTCCAGGGCAAGAGAAGCCCAGTATGTGCCATGTTAGGTGCATGCACAGGAACTAAAACTGGATGGGCCCAGAGTTTCTTCCATTTCAACATCTGATTACTCCTCTGCAACTAAAGCATCCAAGATATGATCCTGTTTGTGTTTGGACAGGAAAAAAGTCTACAATTCCCAGCATGCCTCAACCAGCACAGCATGGCATCATGCTGGGAGCCGCAGGCCCTTTTTCCTAGCTAAACCCACACCGTATTGCATCGTAATAGACTCGGCTCCCCCACCCATGCTGGCCATATGATTACGCAACAAAACGACTGCTTCTGGAAGGTGAGTTGAGGTGTCAGGAAGGGGCAGCAAATTGTCAGGCATTTGATGCTTAATTATTGCATGTTTACTACCAAAGAAGGATGGGAGACGCTTGTGAGATCTTCTGCCTCAGCTGCCAAAATAACTTGACTGGCCTTTGATATGGCACTGTGTCCCTGCCCTTTACTGCTCTCTCAGGCCTGGGGACAAAGATCAGGCTACGCAAACAGTCGGCAGAGCTCAGGGACCTCAGCGGCCACCCAGGCCAAACAACACATGTTCAGAAAGCTTCTGTCTTTATATCAAGAAAATTGGGGTTCCCAAACAATTCTGTTGTTAGCATCCAGCAGACACATTAGCCTTCTGTTTACAAACTTTGGGATTAAGTGTAGCACAGACATAAATGAACTGTTGTAACTCTTCAGGAAATTCGCATGAGCTTTCCTGAGCTGCGACCAGTTCAACAGGTGCTACAAGGGCCACTTGGAGGCTTTCAGTCTGGCCAGTTGAACCAGTTTGCAAGCTAAACAAATAAATAAATAGTGCCCCATGCACTTGAAGTGCCAGCTACAAACCACAAGGAAGCAGACAGTGCCGGGGGAGGGGGGGGGAGCACGGTATTTCGGATTCTCAGGTCCGAGGTCAGAGGCAGCACTCCAACCTCGAAGCTGGGAAGTGGAGAGCTGCCCCCCCATGTTGGGAGAGGGACCTCAGAAGGGGAAAAAATAACTGTGGGGGGGGGGGGAGGAGGCTGAAGAGGAGGCCTCTCAAACCTCCTTCCCTCCTTTTCAAAAGCCGCTGCTAGATGAGCAAAAAAGCCCATTTTTGCTCCCATCACATCTCCCGCCTTCCATGGGATGCTGCCTATAAGCCCACAAGTTCACCCTAGGAGTTTTTGTAATGTGCACAGAAATCTACCGAGTCCCCGATTAACACAATCTCAATTCTCTCTTTTCTCCTGTTCTGCAACCTTTGATTCCAAGCGAGCCCCTGAGATCCTCAATGTTACATCCAGGGAGCTTAAAATGTTGACTGACATGTTTATTGACACTGATGTCTGATTGAGGTAGCTCCATCTTTGTCTCCAAGAAGTCCCGACTGACTGATGTGAGCAGCTTTGGCGCGCTTGACACAAAAGATCAAACACACAACATCCAATGACGCACAGGTATAGTTGCCTTGTGATATTACATTATCACAGCGCTTACTGCTAAGCACTTTTGCAGTTAGGAGCATCATAAGGTTTAGCACCTTGCTCTGAGTTTGCTACTGTGATTTGTTGCTGATACCTTCTAAAATCCCAGTAATGCAAAAGCACTCCCAAAGCATGCAACAGCTGCGGGGGAGGAGGGGCAGGCCCGTTCCGTGCGTCTTCACAAATAAAGCAATACACGTGGCCGCAGTAAAGTCGCCTTCCCCACCTCGTCCCACGAGGTTCATCACTTCCGGGCCTAAAATTTCCCGGCTGCACCCCTGTTCAGGCACGCACATGAGCAGGGCTGCTCCCCATAGGCGGGCCGCGTGTGGGAAACACGCGTGGCCCCCAGTCCTTCGGTCCGCCGCGCTCCCACAGCCCTTCCCGGCCCCGTGCTTCTGGCACGGCGGCTTCGCTGCGAGGGGCGATCCTCGCTCGTGCCCGTGGGGCTGCCCACCCCGCCCGCGCGCCCGCCCGCCCGCCCCCGAGCCCGGCTGGCAAGGCGAACACGCCGCGCGCGCCCCAACGTTCCCCGGGGCCGCTTCTGGCCCGGCCGCGGCGCCCGCCCCGTACCTAGAGCCTGCCTGAGGGAGGCGAGCGCCAGCAAGACGCCGATGCCCGGCCGAGACATCCCGCGGCGGCGGAGAGGCGCCCTCGCCCTGCCCAGCCAGCGCCGCGTCTGCACTTCCACTGCGCGGGCACCTGGCCGGAACCGGGCGGAGCACGTGCCCCCTGGAGGGCCGGGCAAGCGGCGGGCGCACCTGCTCGCTCCGCCGGCGCCCCTGGCGGGCCCTGGCAGGGCTGCCCTGCTGCGGGAGCCGCGCACGTACTCGCGGGCCAGAAGCGGCCCCGGCGAAGCTTGGGCCCCTCGGGAGTCCCCTCAAGGCAGCGGCTGCGCTTCCGAGCGGCTTTCCCCTTCCCCCCGCACCGCCTTCTGCTCTCTGCTGGCTTCTCCCTCTGGAAAGCCCGATTGTAAGAGGTTTACTGCAGAGGCCTTAGAAAGAAAAGGGCCTGATAGGCATGTCATGAGCGGAGCCAGCCGGAGGGAGACTAGATAGCCTGGGAAGCCCCCTTTTGACTCGCTGGGTTTATTTATTTTCTATTATTTATTTCTTAAAAGCTTTTATAGGCCGTCCACTACAAGGGTCTTGGGATGGCTTACAAGGAGGAGGATTCTATATGTTTCTAAAAGAAACACTTACTCTGTGAAGCACTACATAAATTGGTGGAGCCATTAAAATAATTACAGAAGGATAACCATTCTTTTTTCCCTGGTCTCCCTTCCTTACGCATTAATTTAGCACATCAAAGGGGGAGAGCAAAGAGAACGGGGAGCTGTAGGAAGCCCTGCCAGAAAGACCATCCATTGCAAAGGGTGAGCCAGCCCAAGTGCAGCTTTGAGTTTAAGAAGGGTCTAGACCAGTGGTGGCGAACCTGTGGCACATGTGCCACAGCAGGCATGCAGAGCCCTCCCCATTGGCACGCGAGCCAAGTCACCCCAGCATGGCCCCAGCAGTCGAGCATCGGATAGCAGCGCACACAGGGGCCATGCGCATGCTCGGAAAGGAGTGGTGGTGCCAGGCAATGATGTCACAAGCCGTGACTCATTAGCAGCGACTCGTCCGAGCTTTCGCATGGCTGGGCAGTGCGCTGCCAAGGATATAGATATATTTGCTTGGACTGGCTGAGAGTTGTTTTTTCTAAACTAAAACCTCAGCATTCTGGTTTTATTGCAGTGTTGGCACTTTGCGATAAATAAGTGGCTTCTGGGTTGCAGTTTGGATACTCGGTCTCTGAAAGGTTCGCCATCACTGGTCTAGATGATGCACCGGGGCAGCAGACTGAACAGATGCTCAGGAAACCTGGGCAAAACCGCCTCTACTATAGTAAAATGTGTTGCACTTCTGTTTAGGATAGTAATTCTTGTCAGATTTGCAGGTGTGGATCACAGATTTAAGGTAAGCCCATGTCCCCACAAGCCTTTTTCAGGAGGTGGATTCCCTCTTTTCTGGCAATGCATAAGTGCTGGCTCTTTGGGGTACACAGAACAAAAGCACCTATCCACTGGGATTATTAGCCATGTGGGCTGGGGCTGACGGGAATTTATTTATTATTTATTTATTCAAAACATTTTTATGCCACCCCCATCACAACGAAGCCTCGGGGCGGCTCACAACAGAAACAAAATACATAAATAAATAACAATATAACAATAAAAAATTATTTAAAAACCTCTGGTGCATTTCGGCTAAAAATTTAAAATCCTATAAATACAAATAATTTAACAATTAAAATAAGTTTTAAATAAAAAGCGTGGCGCCAAAAAACAAATAACGAAAAACAAATTGCAGTCCATCAGCCTCTGGTTCCCTGTCAACAAGCCAGTTCCCAACGTTTGGTCTTGCTGAGGAAGCGAGGCCCCTCCCCATCACTGGCATAAACCAGTGGCTGCCATTAACTTCTCCGAGAAAGAAGGGGAAGTATTTTCAGCGTGCAAGTCCTCTCTCCAGCATCACCCATTCTGATGGCAACCATTTTGGTAGTCTTATAAAGTCATTTTTATTCAGATAGACCTTTAGCATAGAAGCTGCCCTGCTCCAGGGTTTCTCCTGTCTTGTTGAAATAGTGTTAAATTACAGTAAGAAATAAGGTAAGAGCTTCCCAAAACTAGTAACAGCTTGGTGTACAATCTCAGTAATTCACTTTAAAAATAGCAAACAATATGCCTATTTGAACCTATACATTATTGAAATAAAATGACAAAAAATAAAAGGTAAAAACCCTGTTAATCACTAAAATTCATATCTTCCACTGTATTTTTGGAAGCTAAGCTGAGATCGAGTCTGTGAACATTCAGGAACACTAGCGGCTTCTTTGCACAAAAGTCACGAAGTATATAATGCTTTTTTGCAAAGTATGCGAAGCTCATTAATCTTGTGTGCAGAACTGGAAATCCACCTGAACTCGCGTCCTGCTGAGCACCCACACAAATGCCCAGAATTCACTCTCAGGGCCAGTCTCTGTCAGAATCTAAGAAAATTCTGCACACAAAATTTACTTCTACTTAAATCTGATCTGTAGCAAGGTTATGCTTTGGTCCCAGTTTGGTTTTCTTCTGAGATACTAGAAACCTCCAGCTGCATGCAGTACAGCTGGGAGTGGTGGACTTGCATTGAAGCCGAGAGTCGTATACCGCTGTTTGAGCATCTTACTCGGAAAGGAGGGCACCGCCCTCCCCTTCCACTCAAACTTTAACAGTGAAAAGGAAATTAGTATGCATGACGGATGGACTGGCCAGTTCATCCGCTCCACCCGTCCCCACGTGCCTCAGGGCTAGCCCATGTTGGTCTGAGGACTTGGGTGCTGCCCAGTTTCCTAAGAAGGCAAAGGGAAGTGAGTTACCTGGGACAAGGAGTGGACTTTGAACCTTTCCAGTGTTGGTGATGTCTGTCTCAGAGAGAACATGTAGGCACACCCTGCGGAAAATGAACTGGATGTTAATCAGAGGCCAGCAGATCCAGTCTTCACGGATGATTTGGGTTCAGCTTTCTTTGTGGTAGAATCACTAAATGGGAAACCAGAAAGGTCGTGTTGGAATCTGGGGCAAGGGGCGGCACCTGCCCACCCGCAGTCCTGTCTAGGGCTGCCGTTATGGTTCTTCGGGAGGAAGGTGCGGGGTCTCTTTCAGCTTGAGGGACAGATTCCAGGTTGAAATCCTCTCGGGGGCCACATGCCAGGGATGGGCATGGCCAGAGGCAACTGGGGGAAGGCAAAACCTAGAACCACCATGTTGCGAGACCACCACATTTTCGCTTAAAGGACTTACTGCCAGGAACTTGACTCTTAGCAGCAGCCTTTCAAACCCTGAGAGGAGGGGGATCACACAAAAGCCAGGAGGAAAGGGGGTGGGGCCATCTGGGGAACCCTGGATTAGGACCCCTGGAGGGCCAAATTTGGTGGTTCTGCACCTCTGTTACAGATGAAGGAATAACATTTAACGAGCAGCCCAGGCAGGTCCATGAAAGGCACTGCTGTGCGGCTTCTCAGTTTTTTCCTTCTGAAAGGAGAAAGGTGGCCGAAATGGTGGGAGAACATAGGAGGCTTGTAAGCCAGGGCCCCCCGCGAATCGGGCCGGGTGAAAAATGCCTTTCCAAAAGGTGACCTGCGCCAGAGCACGTGGCCCCTCTGGCTCCATGCTGCCTGCGCCATCTGGCAGCGGAGTTTCAAGTTTCAGGCAGGGGCCACCTGGAGATCAAACATGGGACCTTTTGCATGCAAAACTGGTGCTCTGCCACTGCTGGCCAGCTGTCCTTTTTAACAGAGGACTGTTCTCCATTGGAACGCTTGCCAAGGTACTTTATATTGTGATTTATATCCTGCCTTTTTCCTACAAAGGGCTCAAGGCAGCTTACATCATTCACCTCCTCCATCTTATCCCCACAGCAACAACCCTGTGAGGTAGGTTGGGCTGAGAGTCTGTGACTGGCCCAAAGTCACCCAGTTAGCTCCATGGCTGAGTGGGGACTAGAACCTGGATCGCCTGAGTCCCAGTCCAACGCTCTTAACCACTACGCCACACTGGCTCTGGTGAAGGAGGCCTCTGTTTGAGGGGCTGTCCTGTCCAAATCCAGTTTATAGCTAAAGAACCATCAGAACTGTTCCCCCTCCACTGCTGCCCTTGAATGCAGCTCATAGACTGTGCTAGCACTTAAATTCTAATAATTTCTTCTGAATTAGGCATAGCCTAAGTAAACTGATCTCTTTTTTTTGGTGATGCATTTTCTCTTGCTTGGTGAGGCTTAACTGGCTTCCCTTACTATGCCCTCCTGTCCTCATGGGATTGGAGCTTTGACCCAGGTTGTGTGATTTCCACACACAGAAGTAAGTTCTATTAAGTTCACACTGCATCCACTGTTAGACTTCATTTCCCTCCAAGCTTCAGAGGAACTGCCTTTTTCTTTTAACAGGATTATAGGTATGCTACCTAATTATATGCTCATACTTCAGCCTTTCAAAGCAAGCAGATATTTTGAACATGCTGACATAACTATTCCCGGTATTGTGGGATAGCAAGGAAAATGCTATCATGACATCTCAAGCATCAGCCAGTCAGTGCTGTCCTCAGCCAGATTTTGCTGCAAACCTGTAAAACTATTCATCAGTAGCCCAATAACTTGTTGATGGAGAGGGAAAAATATGTTTGTACTAAATGCAGTAAAGACACATCCAAATCAGTCCCGTTGCTCTAAGTTAACGAAAGGATCACCAAGTGATGAGGCTGGCCAGCTCCCTAAGTCAAACCACCGAGTGACTCTTTTTTTTAGTATGCATATCAATGGTACAAATTACTCTGCTAAAAAAAAAAAAAGACCTCCAGTGAAACCATGATTTAAAATAATACATTTTAATGATTGAGTTGATTGAACAATATTTAATTTATTCATTAATGAATGCTTAATTTATTAATTTTAAATGAAATTAATCAGAATGCAGTCAAGAAGAAAAAGGCCTTTAGCATATTTGAGAAACTGGGTAAAATAGAATACTGCCCGAGAGTTTTTTTACTATATATTTTCATATATACTGGAGGTAATACAGCTAGAAATGTACTTTTACTCTCTAATATTTACAGCTAGAAATGTACTTTTACTCTCTAA